AAAAAACACCGAACCATGTTTATCTGGAATTTGTTTTTACTTGCCTGAAATCTGTTTTTTTCTATGAAAAAATTTAAACTGACTTAAACTAGAACAAATGCAGTGATTGAGAATCTACTGAATATCTATGACTTTAATTTCAGATTGTTTAAGTCCATACATCCTTGGATCTCCTTGAAAAGCGTTTTCAGCTGTGATTGCAGAAAGTGGAACGTGTTTTTGTTCTTTAGCTAATAAAGTTGTCTAACCTAAACTTCACCTATAAGTTTTGCAGTGTCTATCTATGTAGTTTGGTTCTTTATATACAGATGCTTGAAGTAAACCACAGAACTCTTACGTGTAGTTGCTGTGGTTTGAATTTTGTTAGTCACGTATTTGCAAGAGCACCAAAAAAATTAAAATAATTACAAGTTACTTTAAGAAGCATGTAGAACTGTTTTCTGTATTAAGATACGATCTTAAGTAATCATAACTGTTGTTGAGGTAAAATATTTCTTTTCCAGAGCCTTACTCCATTTCAACAGATATATTCATAATTGGCTGGTTTATTGACACAGTGGAAGTGTTAAAAAGTGTTTTTGAGTCTTTATAAATCTGTTTGTAGACCCTTTAATGGAAAGAAAAAGTTATTGCAAATGCAGTTTATTCAAGGTTTCCTTTGAAACATTAAAAAATTCTTAGCATTTTTTCCTTTCAAACTTGAGTATCTGACTTTTTAAACATTTATGTTAATAGCTAGAAGATAGATAACCAGCCTATCTGATCTAGAAGCTATAAAATATTTTTCAGAATGTCTCCATAAATCTCATGAGGAAAAAAAAAAACATTTTCTTCACAAGATTATTAATTATAGTTTACCTATAAAATACAAGGGTATTGAATCACTTTGGTGTGATAACCTGCCAGTTAAGAATGGGCTTCTTTGGAAGCTCAGAATCTTCAGCCAAGGTGGGTTTTTTGTTTTGGGTTTTTTTTTTTTGAAAAGTAGCGGTTCCATCTGTGGTCACTAGGTGGCGCATTTCCATTATGTTTCCAAAAACAGCAGATGTTAACTTCTTTCCTAGGACCACAGAGCTTGGTGCAGTGCTTCCAGATGGAATTAGCGCAGTTTGCATGGACCTTTCTTTTCTGGGGAAACCCACTTTCTTATCTGTCATGGATATATGAGACTCTTGGTTGAGCCAGTATTTCTTTAGTAGAGGTTCTGTCCCTATAAGGAAACAGCCCCTTTGCTAACTATTAAAAATTTCCCCTGGGGCACCCGGGTGGCCCAGTTAAGTGTGGACTCTTGATTTCAGCTCAAGTTATGATCTCACAGTTCATGAGTTCAAGCCCCAAGTTGGGCTGTGCGCTGACACTACAAAGCCTACTTGGGATCCTCTCTCTCCCTCTCTCTCTGCCCCTTCCCCACTCACTCTCTGTCTCTCCCTCCCTCCCCTCCCTCCCTCCCTCCCTCTCAAAAAATAGATAAACTTAGAAAAGAGGGACTAATATATTAGTCCTATTACAAAAAATTCCCCGAGTCTCCTCCAGAGTAGCTCTATGCGGAAGAGACTCTCTGGCATTTCCCTGTTGAGCGACCACACGAGGAGCCAGGGAACTACCAGGAGTGGCTGGCTGTGCACCGTGCTCATGGAGAAAGTAGGCAGCAGCTGCTTTGACAGTTGACCATCTTTATGGCTTTGGGGCCTGAGTTAAATTAGGAAGTTCCAGTGTCTGAGAGATGAAAACTGAAAGCTGCAGAATCCACGAAAGGAGACATACAAATGAAATTGTTCTAAAGTCCTAAGAAACCTTGACAAGAGGATACTTTGGGACCTAAAAAATATAAGTAAATCTGGGATGCCTCCTACCCAGGATTCGGTGGAGCCGAGGGCCTCTCAGATATACAACTAGCAGGAAAATGAGATTTCCAAATACAGTTTAAACAAATTTATGAATGATGAACTCATGTGGCCCATAAAAAACTAATAAAATTACTTTCAAAGGATACCACAGAAGGTGGGTGTGATCTCTAGAAAATTCCATGGGCCTCTGCTAGCAGCAAAAAGGTCATTTGGATCTGACCTTCAGGCTGTAGTCCTGTGTGCTGTGAGCTCTGTCAAGGAACTATTAAGGAAGCTTTACATGGGTGGAGACCCTGTCAGTCCTCATCCTCTATTGAGGGTTCTCTGGAAATCTAGAATTTATCACTGCAGCATGCCATATGTCACTACCTCGTCTTAAGAATCTCTCCCTTGCTATGTCCGGGCTTTCCCACTCGCCTTAGTAATTCCTCCTGGGCAGGTGCTGTGTTATTTATTTCTATCTCCCCCATTGTCCTGAGCACAATGTCTTGCACAGTGGTTCATATATTTGCTGAGTTAATGCCATGGGTGTGTTAGAGGTATTGAAACACTTGAGGTGTTACAGGGACTGCAGTTGAGGTGGCTGCAGGGAGGTAATAATGCACAGAAATTGGCTTTTAGTAAATACTGGCTGTAGCACCGTGTTCATCTGGTTTCTGCAAATTGCTGATGAACAGTTCTGGTTCATGGTGCTTATAAAAAGATTTTTTTAAGATCTTAATACTTGCAAGATTTTAAAATGTCTTCTCTTTGCCCCAAGTCTTTAATACTTTCTGCCAGAATCGCTTTTATTTTTGGCATATCATCAACTAAGGAATTTGCAAATGATTTCAATCCATCCCACAAGCAACGAGTGGAACACGAGCTGTATCTGATGCAGCTTTTCAAATATAACAATCAGGTGCTTAAAAATGAAGGGCAGATTCCTTCACTTCTGCTCTGAAGCTTCCTTTCTGACTATGCCATATTTGCTGGAAGTGTCACAGAACGTTAGGGGGTATGTGAGTTAATTTTATAACCTGGGTGAATTTGGTATAAATCCTTAGATTTCAAAAATTGAAATTGTTTTCTACAAACAATTTTATGCAAAATAACGATGTTTTGGTGGAGACACTTGGGCATAATTTACTAAGAGGCTCCACAATGGCAGGGCTCTGGTTCTGTGCAATAGCTCCACTTAGAGATCCCTGCTTGGCACACAGGAACTGTTTGTTCAAAAAGTGGATAATGGGGAATCTCCAGCAGTAAGCTTAAATACCTAAAAGTATTGCTAAGACTGCATAAAGTGGTGGAGTGCAGCTGGGTTACAACACATCCCTTTCAAATGCCTGATGACACAAACACAATACAGTAAAAACCAGCACTTCCTTCCTGCAAAAAACAAACAACCCATCAGCAAACAAGGAAAAAGACCTAACCAAATGTCAAAAATGTCAAAAACTGGTAAGAGAAGAAAAAGTACATTGCTCAAGTGCCAGGCTACTCAGGCAAATGGTCTTGGTGAGTCAGCAAAATTCAGGAACCCACTCACAAGAGGAACAGACTGATTGGGGGCAAGGGGAATATCCTTATCTTTCCCCGGTTACTGCGAGAGGGCAGTGGAAAGGATTTCTGGAAAGAGATGGAGGGGGGAACTTGGGAACAACCAGGACTGATTTTCTGCTGGATCTGAGGGTTCTGCACTGAACCAGAGAAAGGCTCCAAAGCCCAAGATGACCTCCATGGGTCATGAAATGCACTAAGTAACTAGGGGAAGAAAAAACATTTAGCAAATCTCAATGAAGAGACCAGTTTAGCAAAGATAGTTTAAGCTGAGTTTTCCCTGCCTTACCTCTCGCTGTCACACCACAAAACATTGAATAGAACGCACAATACGACTTTCAAACTGCTCAGAGAGAAAAAATAAATAGGAACTTATTCACATGATCTCATGAAGTTGCCCACATTACACAGGAACACAAGAAATGACACACCGCTTCACACCCACTAGAAGGACTATAATAAAAAGGACAATAACGGGCATCAGTGAGGAGGTGGAGAAATTGGAACCCTCTTACATTGCTGATGGAAATATAAAATGATTGCAGCCACTTTTGAAAACAGTCTGGAAGTTCTTAAAATTTTTTTTTAATGTTTATTTACTTTTGAGAGAACGTGAGCAGGCGAGGGGCAGAGAGAGAGAGAAGGAGGTACAGAGACTGACATGGGGCTCAAACCCATGAACCATGAGATCATGACCTGAGCCGAAGTCAGATGCTTAACCAACTGAGCCACCCAGGTACCCCTGGAAGTACCCCTTAAATTTTTAAAACAGAGTTACCACGTGATTCAGCAATTCTCCTAGGTATATACACAAGAAAAATGAAAATATGTGCACATACAAAAACTTGTTCCTAGCAGCATTATTCATAATAGTCAAAAAATGGAAACAACCCAAGTATCCATCACCTGAGAATAATGGCAGAAGTAAATGTGGTATATCCATACAATGGAATATTACTCAGTCTTAGAAAAGAGTGGGGTACTGATACATGTTTTAACATGGACATACCTCAAAAACACTGTGCTAAAGTGAAAAAGAGCCAGTTATATTTAAGCTGGTAGACTTTATGATATATGAATTATATCTCAATATAAAAGCTATTTTATATAAATAAAATATAAAAAGCTATTTTTAAAAAACAAATGGCAATTTCCTGTAGTGTATATATAGACACATTGTGGATATGAAGTTTGCCTCCCGTAATCTTGTTTACTGCTTCACACAAAATTGCTTCTGATCAAGGAAATCATTTCACAGCAAAAAAATGTGGCAGCAAATGTGAGTTCATGTCGAGAAGGGGAAAAAGGTAGTAACCAGTACTACATTTAGTAGCTAGACTGTAATTTTAGCCTCTAAATATAAAAAAATACATAGAATACAAGCAATACTCCCTGACTTTTTTCTAGTTTCCTAAGGTGGAAGTTTGGGCCATTGATTCAAGACACTTCCTTTCTTTTCTTTTTTCTTTTCTTTTCTTTTCTTTTCTTTTCTTTTCTTTTCTTTTCTTTCTTTTTTTTTAAGTTTATTTATTTTGAGAGAGCAAAAAAAGCAGGGGTAGGGGAACAGAAAAATGGAGAGAATCCCA